TAATGTAAACCTGACTCAAACCGGCCACCGATAAGAAGAGAGGCGCCGTGGCCCCTGGTAGGGCAGCAATGGGTGAAGAAGGGGATTCGGGTTCCATTTACATTTCTGCAGGAGCATGCTCTGTGGTGTCATTCATTGTGACTAGCACCCCCAACACACATGAGGTGCAGCACACCACAAACGCACTACAGTGCACATAACGTTGTGGCACGTCCATTTTTTGGGACGGTTTGGTGCATCGGCAGCACAAATGTGGAGAGAAACCGATGGACGCCAATTATTTCATTCATTAACACTTTATAATACTTTATAATCATCTTTATAGTGCAAGTCCCCCAATCTGACCCGGTACCACCCAGTCCAAGCAGAACTCAGACAGTGAGAGGGAGAAGCATTACAAGGAGCCAGTCAGGGGTGCTGATGTGCTAACAAGGGGCATGCTGATAGAAGGATAGAGCAAGAGCTTATCAGCTTACCTCCTAGAAGCAATGAGTCCAATGTCTGGCTGGGAGGCCGAGGGATTGCAGAGGGAGAACGTCATATAAGGGGTTATTTACAAAGCTAGCCGAATGATCAGCCGTAGCTACTGCTGGTCCTTCGGCTAGATTTGGCCGTCTGAGCCCTTCGGTTGAGTAGAACCGAAGGGCTGCTGTACGGGCTATTCACTATAAGCCCGTACAGCTCACGAAGTTGACCGAGCGGCTCGGTGGAGCCGAAGGCATATGCTTCGTCTCGACTGAGCCGAGGTGAAAGCCCAAGCTGGCTGAACAGCCGGCCATTGGCCAGCCGAAAGCCTGCTACTGACAGCTGGGCGGAGTCAGCCCTCATCTCACGGCTGGCTCCAGCCACTTGCAATGACAGATCAGCGTCCCTGGTTACCCAGTGACGAGTTCTCATTGTAATGAAGAGTTCTCAGAGTGCAATGACAGTTCAGCGTCCCCTGGTTACCCAGTGACGAGTTCTCATTGTAATGAAGAGTTCTCAGCGTGTAATGACAGTTCAGCGTCCCAGTAACCAGGGGATGCTGAACTGTCATTACAATAAGAGCTCAGCGCAGCCGGCAGTGATGTCATGGCCGGCCCCATTGAGCTCCAATGACAGCAGGTCCCGGCCAATAGGAAACAGTTGGGCGGAGCTAGCTGTCACTGCAAGCTCCGCCCAATCGTTTTCTACTTTTTTTTTTTTTTTTAGTTTCTCTATTCTGCTCGTTACCACGGAGGTAAAAAGCAGAATAGCTGAGCCGCATGTAGCTGGGCGGCTTTCGGCTATTCGCTGTGAATAGAATAGGTGGAACAGCAGAGCGAGTAGACTGCCGGAGGTTCGAACTCCTTCTGCACTTCGGGTCGGCCAAACATGCTAACCCTAAGGCCGACCCGAACCCAGCCAAAGCAAGCCGATGTACGGCTGAAATCAGCCGTACAAGCCTGAAGTGAATAGCCGAACAGCGTTCGGCTCACTTCACTTCGGGTCGGTTATTCGCACGGCTGCCTACGGAAACTTTGTGACTAACCCCCCATAATATTCCCGGGAGGATGATTAATGATCACGTTGGCTTTCTGCCCCATTTTCAGGGAATTCTCAGAGGTGGATGCTTGAGGTTTCTCGTTCTTGGTGAAATCGGGGGAACTCCTGAAGTGAAGACGTGCTCTCTGGCTCAGTAATGGGAAGTCATGAAGCAAGGATGGGGATGACGCCACAGATCTGGTACATCAAGTCATCATCGGCAGTTATCACCGGGACAGGAAATGTAACATTGTGACAATGCCGTCTGTTTTACATACAATGGTGAACTCGCATGGTCTGCCGTCACTGGGAGCTCTCCGCTGCTCTGGGGGCCCCCCTCTTTGGGGTCACACGCGGGCGGGGGGGTATAAAGTCTGCGATTAGGGCGCTGCATGTGATACTCTGACCTCCAGCCGGAGACTTTTACTTTCCTCAGCCTCAGACCGATCACTTTAATCAACGGAGGACGAGGCGTCCATAGAGCTCCACTATTATGTCAGCGGGATGTTCCCAGCATGCTTTGCAGGAGTCATTCTGTGGGGTAGGGATGAGCGCCATCGCCTGGGTTCGATTCGCGGGAGCTTCGGCGAACGTATCAGGAAGTGCGCAAACCCCAAATTTCGCCATTTCCAAGTCTAATACACCAACGCTAGAAGTCTGGCAAATAAAATAGAGGAGCTTGAAATTAGGTTAATTGAAGAGGAAAAGTATCTCATTGAACAAAAGGCACAAAGAGCCGGCGGCACTGCCATGGGGGGACCTGTGCCAATCCCAAAAATAGAGAGGTCACTTCATGCCACTTAAAGGGCAACATCGTAAATACACAAATCCTTTGTGGCGGGGGGGCTGGAATCTGCATGTAGTATGTACAACGTAGTCCTAGAAGTAATAATTGGCCTTTAAAGCTTTCCCCTGACCCCTATCCAAGCATGCAGCCGAGGTGACCAGGTAAGGGGGGGCAGAAAGTGTGCACCCCCCTCCCCGGGCTGTACCAAACCAGGCCGCATGCCTTTCAACATTTGGGGGGGGGGGTACTTTGCAAGGAGAGAGTAGCAAAGCCCCCCCCCCCCTTACATGGTACCTTTGTCCTAATTTTGGGGAGGAGGTAATATGGGGGGCTTGTGGTGGAATCTGGAAGCAAATTATAATAAACAAGGGAATGAGTACAGGGGTACAATCAGGGGTGTCCCGAGGCCGGGTGTCACCCGAAGCGGGTACCAGGTGACACCCCTTTGTGACATCATCGCGCTTACGCAGCCATCCTGTTGATACCTGCCGGTGGCTATCATGGTGATGGAGGCCGGCAGAGAGAGGAGGGGGCGTTCACCCGGCGGGATGAGGTATGCCGCCGGGTCCCCTCCTCTCTCCTGACACTGTCGGGCTCTCTGTCCATGACCGAGTGCCCAACGTTTCAGAGGGGGGTGACACCAAAATGACTGTCAGTCATATTGGTGTCACCCGGGTGTGGACCGCACCACTCTTGTGACGCCACTGGGTACGGTGCTCTGCTCTGCTGGAGGACTCTGCTCCTTCTTCTGCTGGAGGACTCTGCTCCTTCCTCTATGACTCTCCTCTCTGCGATGCTCTGGGGTCAGTTGGTGTGACAGTCCGGTGATTGCACAGACACGGACAGGTTGGGGAGCTGCGGGAGCAGAGCATTGTGGGTAGCGGCTGCATAACTCCTCCACAGCAGCAGGAAATGAAATAATGAGCCATAAGTCTAATGTAATAACAATAATAAGTATTCCTCTAATTGGGGGAGGGGTTGGTTATCTCTCACACGCAGGGGGTGCACATGGCCCTGGTAACCCCTTAGTGTCCGCGTGTCGTTCTCCTCTCTGCTGCGGCCAATCAGACCCGATTTAAAGGATATAACCTGGATATTGTACCCGCCGTCCAGTTCTCCCTTTACCACTCCTGGCTATGATAAGATGATTTGGTGAGCCCCCGTCGCACCGGCGTGAAGGTCAGAGGCAGAGCATGCGGCGCAACCACCTTTCATTGTTGTGAGATACAAACCAACACACTGAGTGATGCCAAATCCAGCAGGCTTTTCACACTGCTTGCTGGCAGCTTCTTCTCAATTGACTCCACACAGCATATCCTTCACCCTCATTCTCAAGTATGTGTGGGCGGAGCAACCAATGGGGTGTGGTTGGAACCGGGGAACACTTTGCATGGCATTTCCCATGAATTGGGACATAGATATTCAAATCAGCCTTTTGGGTAATAATGACATTCTGTTGTATCTCAAGTAGAGAAGAAATTACACCAGAAAACCCTTCTTTGCAGCAAATAACCAGAGTCAGTGGCGTAACAATCGCCATAGCGACCCAGGCGGCCGCAATGGGGCCCGTGCACAGGGGGGCCCGGCCAGGCATCCCTCTGATGCCGTGTGGGCCGCCTGGGTCGCTATGGCGTCTCGGGGTGCTGGCTGTCACTGACATAGCTCAGCAGCGGCTGTGAAGGAGAACGTCCCCCCCCCTCACAGCCGCTGTGGAGCTGTGTCAGTGACAGCCGGCAGATGCGGCAGAATAGGCCGGTTACACCGGTGTTCTATCGATAGTCCAAACTTATCGAGTTGTGGGACCGCAGGACTTCCGGTCCCAGAACTCGATAAGTTCGAACTTCCGATCGATCACCGGCATTTGCAGTAAAGAAGGAGGCGGGGCCCGGCTAACAGCAACCCCGCCTCCTCTCACATCACTGGCCAGCGATCTGAGAGCAGGTGGGGCCAGTGATGTAAGAGGAGGCGGGGCCCGTCGATAGAAGGAGGCGAAGCCCGGGAACGGAAGAGGAGGCGGGGGCCCGGCGGCGGCGACCACGGAGGTGACAGGTAAGAAGCGTACAGCGCAACTGAGACCTTGCAGAGCCCACCATAGAGAGCCTATGGTGGGCTCTGCAAGTGGCATAACTAGCAGTCACGGGGCCCCATACAAAATTTTGCTATGGGGCCCTGTGATTTCTAGTTACGCCCCTGACCAGAGTATATGATCTGCATAGTGCTGGGCTTTCTTCTACGTGCTGTGACTATAAAGAATATTGAGGAGCTCAGTTGCACGGAATAATTCAGCGTTTGGAAGAAGTAGTGAATGGGGGATGGGAGGGGGTCACCGTATGTAAACCTTCCAGTAGAACTTTATTTGCTGTAATGTCAGTAACAACGAGTCCTCTCTTGGTTGGGAGTTGAGGTTTAATCTCTAGCTGCGGGAAGGATTCTTCACCCTAAAAGCTGTGAAAATGTGATGTAATAGTTTGCAGCAATACCGCTGCAGAGATCAGGGCTCTAGTATGAAAAGTGGACTAGATCTGCCCTTTCCTAACTGACCCCACTGGGGAGGAGCCAAAAAGTGACCAGGGTCCCCCTGGAGGAGGGGCCTACTTATAGGAAAGACAGTTTACAGGTAACAATGCAGAATGTGGATTTAGGAAATTGTCATGTGACTCACACCGTCAGGACTTCCTAGTTCCCTAGTTTCCACCTATGCAAGTGAATTATGGAAGCAGAACCCAAATTCTGGCTCTGCGTGTTCCCTGCTAGAATATACCGGCACTGCGACCTTCAGCCAATCAATGAGGGAGGTAAAGTGAACGCCCCGCCCCCCAATCTCCCGGGCTCACTTCTCCGGAAGTATTAATGATTAGTACCTGAGAGGAGGAAGGGGAGGCACAAAGCCGGATATCTGACAGCTGGAGACAATGAGCCCCGGCCGCAGGATCTCCTCCCAGGTTCTCTCTCTGTTACATTGTATCCGTCTCCCATCCTCATTACACACATGGAGGGGGTACAATGTATTCACAGAGGGGGGCACAGAAAAGCCCCAATGGCCGCAGGCTGGAGACCACATGGACAAAACTTGGAGGGAAATTTAAAGGAGAACTATGAGGGGGAGGGGCTTTTCACTCACCTCATAGTTCTAGCCGACCTGTGACAATGAGACTGTCACAGAAACAAATGAGTGAAATATTTGATAGATTTGTATTTTTTTATGTGACTTTCATTTTCCATAATTGAGTTCTTTACACAGAATTCTCCGTCTGGAGTCTGTTGGGGGCGGGGCAAGTCATTTCTGCTGAATTGATTTTTGTTACATAACGACCATTTTTGTCTTTAACAAAATTTCAACTCTATTTTCTTTCGGCAAAAAAAAATAGCTTCTAAAGAAAAAAAAAACCTTTTAGGCCCCAATAACATCTTTTACTTTTCATGAAGTTACATTAAAACATGGCGGCGCTGTATAAAATACCGATAATAGTAATAAATGAATCCTTTAAAATACACTGTGCAG